CCTCCCAGTGCTGCCCTCTCACCCCAGTAGGTGACCACCGAGGCGTTGTCCCCCCGGGGGGTCACCAGGCAGGCAAAGACGTCCCCGCGCTCCAGGGTCACTTCCAGGCGGGACAAGCTCCAGAAGGTGAGCTCCGGGGTGGGGGTGAAGGGCCCCTGGGTGACCCCCCGGGTGACGGGGACACCCCCCCGGGTCCAGGTGATGTCCAGGGCTGGCGGGAAGACGTTCTCCACCAGGCACAGCAGGGTGTTGGCCTCACCCAGCGTCAGCGGCAGTGCCGGGAACACTTGGGCCACCGGCATTCCTGTGGGGATTGCATCCCATAAAAATGGTGGGATGGGACCTCCAAAGGGTCCCATCCCAAAGGGACGTCCCGCCCTGATTCCTGACCTTGGGGGGCTCCAGGGGTGGGGGAACCTCCAATCCCAGCCTCAGGGTTGAGCTTTTCGCTGAAGCCAGGGTTTTTTTTCTGAATCCAGGTCTTTTCCATCCCTAAGTTTTCCCATTCTCTCCATCCTTCCATCCCCAAGTTCCTCCATCCCTCCCACCCCCAAAGTTCTTCCATTCCCAAGTTCTTCCCTCGTCTCCATCCCTTCTTCCCCCAAGTTCTTCCATCCTTTCATCCCCATCTTCTTGGGGGACACCTGGGATTCCACGGATCCACTGACCTGGGGGTGTCGCCCCCGTCACCCCCCCCAAATTCCTCCTCCATCCGCCATCCCCCCCAGCAGGACGGTGCTCCATTGACCCCCCGGTGTCCCCTCTGTCACCGACCCCTGGCCTGGGGCAGGACCCCGGCGGCCGAGCGGCCGAGCCCGTCCAGGACACCCCGGCACAGCTCCACGTCCAGGCGCAGCTCCGGGGGGGTCTCCAGGTCTGGGGGCAGGGGGGGGCAGGTCCGGGAGTGCCGGGAACCACTGGGATCCCGGGAAGTCGAAGCTGTAGAGTCGCTGCCCGTCCAAGGTGAGGGAAAGGTCCAGGGAAGGGGTGTCCGGTTGGCAGGTGAGAACCTCGGCCAGGAGGTGGGTGGGGGGCTCTGGGGGGGGGGGCACAGGGGGGAGTTGGGGAGATTTGGGGGGGATTTAGGGGGATTTGAGGGGGTTCAGGGGGGATTTGGTGGGATTTGGAGGGGATGTTGGGGGGAATTGTGGGAGTTTGGGGGGGATTTGAGGGAGTCCTGGGGGGGATTTGGATGGGAATTGGGGTAGGTTGGGGGATCCTGGGGGGATTTGGGGGGAACTAGGGGACTCTGGGGGGAATTGGGGAGGATTTGGGGGGGGAACTGGGGGACTTTGGGGGGGATTGGGGAAGTTTACGGGGGATTGGGAAGGATTTAGGGGGGATTTGAGGGGTGCTGGGGGGATTTGGATGGGAATTGGGGTAGTTTGGGGGGGATTTGAGGGGGTTCAGGGCAGTAAAAAAAGGAGTAGAAAAAAGGGGAAGAAAGGGGGAGAAAAAAAGGAAGAAAAGGGGGAGGGAAAAGGGGAACAGGAAAAAGGGGAACAAGGAAGAGGGAACAGAAAAAGGGGAGGGAAGGAGGAACAGGGAAGGAGGAACAGGGAAGGGGGTGCAGGTGGGGGGTACAGGCAGGGATTTAGGGGGGATAACCGAGGGTACAGGCAGAGGTACAGGCAGGGATTTAGGGGAGATAACACGGGGTACAGGAAGAGGTACAGGCAGGGATTTAGGCAGGATAACCCAGAAGTACAGGCAGAGGTACAGGCAGGGGTACACAGCTGGTTGCGGGCAGGGGATCACCCCCTCACCCCCCCTACCCCCAAAGCCTCCCCTCCTCCCTCCCTCTCTCCCTCCCTCCCTCCCCCTCTCCCCTTCCCCTTCCTACCGGGGGTGACGGCGGCGGCGACCCCCAAAAGCCCCCCGAGCAGCGGGGCCAGGAGCCCCCAAAAACTGCCGCCCATTCCCGCGCCGTGAGGCCACAGTTGGGGTGGGGAGGCCCCGCCGCGTAACTCCCCCAAACCCTCCCAAAAACTCTTCCCCAAAGCCCCCAAAAACCTCCTCCCAAACTCCCGCCCCGCCCCCCGGACGCACTGACCAATGGGAGCGCTCTGTTGCCGCCGCGTCACTTGTTGCCGGGTGGAGAAGCCTCAAGGCGAGCGCGATTGAGGTGACAGAGCCACGGAGTCGCCGAGGGGGTCACGGGAGGATCCCCGCGACGTCCCCCCCGCGTGTCAGGAGGGAGGACAAAGCTTTGGGGACCCCCCTTCAAGTTGGGGGACCCCCAAGCTTTGTCCTCCCTCCTGACACGCGGAGGGGACGTCACAGTGTGTCGTGATAATTAGGGCGCACCGACGGGTGCGCGGGGGTTCGGGAGGGACCCCTGGAATACCGTGGACACCCGTGGGGTCATCTCACGTCCCCCCCAACCCCCCCGTGAGTGCCCTCCACACCTCGCACCTCACCTGAACCCCCCATGGGTGCCAGTGGGGACTCCTGGGATGTCGTGGACACCCGTGGGGTCACCCCAGAATACTCGGGAGCCCAAATTACCCCGTGGGTGCCCCGAGGGTCCCCCGCGGGTGCCCCCACACCCTTCCCACCCCACCTGACACTCCCCCAGATCCCAGCGCTGCCCCCTTGGAATATCGTGGATCCCCCCCACCCCTCGTGGGTGCCCCTCACCTGACACCCCCCCCCCCCCCAGATCCCAGCGCTGCCCCCCTGGAATGTCGCGGACTCTCGTGGGGTCACCCCTGGAATGTCGTGGAAACCCCCCCCCCCCGAATATCGTGGAACCCCCCCCCCGAATGTCGTGGAACCCCCACCGCCCCGAGACCCCCGTGGGTCCCCCCGCACCACTGCAGCGGGACCGCACTGCGCATGCGCGGGGCACTAAGACCCCGCGGAGCCCCTCGGGGGGGGCCCCATGAATGTGGGCCCGTGGGAGCCGCGGGGGGGGCACGTGACCGCAGGCAGCCAATCGCAGCGCGGGTGACGTAGCGCGTGGCTCCCTTTTCTGCCCCGGGATGGTTTTTTTTCACCTTTTTTGCCTCCAAAATGGGGCTTTTCGGGGCGGGAGGGGCGCGGATGAAGCGGGGCCGGGCGCGGGGGTCGCGGCCAGGCGCGGGGGCCCCTCAGGTGAGTGATTTTTGGGGAAGTTTTTTTTGGGGGGGGCGGCCTCGCCCTGCCCCCTCCCCGACGGTGAGGGGCGGGGGAGGTCACTTGGGGGTGGCGAGCTGTCAATCAAGCGATGTCCCGCCCCTCGGGCTTCACTTCAACTAATGGGAGGTGCGGGTCGCCTTGATTGACAGCTGGGGGCCCGGCTTTGTGCGCGCGGCGGGGGCGGCGGTTTGGGGCGAAAAGCGCCATGTTTGGGTGTTCGCGCGGGGGCGGCGGCGGCGGGCGCGGCCCCAAGTGCTGTGTCACGGCGTTGGCGGGGGGGTGGGGAAGGGAGGGATCGCACGGGATTCGGAGACCTCCACGAGCCCTGTGGAGTTCGGAGGGGGGGGGAGGCTGGGAAGAATTGAAGAATGCGACCCCTTTACATTCCGTGAAGGGGTTTGGGGGGTTCCCGTGCAGGGGAGCGGGCGCTGAAGCCCCTCCCGCGGGAGCGGGGCCCTCAGGGTTGCGGGGTGAGAGGTGTGGGGGGATTGGAGGGGAGAGGTTTATCGCGGCTTAACCCGGGCTAGCGGCCACGGCAGCGGCGCGTCCGTGGGGGTTGTGGTGTCCCGCGTGTGACCAGGGAGGCGTTGGCGACCCCTGGGAACCCGTGGAGAGCGGGGGAGGCAGGTGGCGGTGCGCGGGTCAAGTGAGTGTTAAAGAGTTCGCGAGCGCCGCGAGGGGGGTGAGGGCGGAACTGGGGTCCCCATGGTGCTCGGTGGAGCGGAGGAGAAGGGGGGACGCGGAGAGGCCGCCCGGGAGGGCCGCGCTCATTGTCCGCCCGCCCGCTCGCGGCCGCCGCCGCCGCCATTCAAGATGGCGGCACCTCTTTCCCCCCTCCCCTCAGCGCCAACCGCCGCCCTTCTCCCCGCCCACCTCGCTGCCCCTCGGCCAACCACCGAGCGGCGGGCGGTGGCGCCGACCAATGGGCGCCGAGGGCGCCGCCCGCTCTCAGTGAAGGCGCCGGGCGGAAAAGCCGCGCGGGGAGGGGGGGGTCGTACGGGTGGAGGTAGGGGTGATTGACGCGCCAGTCGGCCAATGAGAATGCGATGTTGGAAGTGCCACCGCCCAATGAGGCTACGGTTGGGTGGGGAGGGGCGGGTTCGTGACGTCAGCGGTGTCGGCGGCCAATGGGGAGGTCGGTCGCGTCTATATAAGGGCGGGCGGGGGCAGGCCAAGCGGCGCCATTTCGCGGTGGACGAGGGGACGGAGCTGGTCGGGCCGCGGCAGAGAGAGCGAGCGAGAGAGAGCGCGCAGAGGGGCGGCCCCTTCAAAAAAAAAAAAAAGCAACCAACCTCTCTCGGCTCCATCCCCCCGGAGGAGCTCCGAGGGGGGGAAACCCTCCCCGGCCTCCGCAGCGACCCCTGCCTGCGGCCACCGGCGGCGAGCGGCCGCCTCCTCGTCCTCCTCTTCCTTCCCCCCCCTTCACCTCCCTCAGCGAGCCAAGATGGAGCGCGGCCGCTGATCCCGTCGATCCGCCGTCATCCACCGGCCTCCCCGCGGCTCAGCGCCTTGTCTGCGGTCCTTGCGGGTGCTCCGGGCTCCGAGCGACTCGCCGAGGGTTGTATCGAGCGCGTCGCGAAGGGTTTGTGCCTCCCGGTGAAGCTCCGAAGAGAGGACCCCCCCGCTCCCCTCCACTACCCCCCCGTTGCATCCCCTCAGCGCTCGCCGCCATTTTCGCCGCGCCCGTGGATGTTGAGGCCGTGGGAGGGTCCCGGCATCGTCTCCTAAGGGAAAATTAATTAGATAGAGGAAAGGGGGGGCTCCTGGCTCGCCTCCCGATCCCCTCCCCGTCCTCATCCCGCCGGGGATGCGCTGACGGGGGGGGGCCCCCACTGGGCCGCGAGCGGCGGAGCTTTGGCCGGGCAAAGTGGGGGGGTCGTCGGAGGAGACGGCGGGAGGAGGAGGAGGAGGAAGAGGAGACGAGGGCCCGCGGGCCGCGCACGGAGCCGTCGGGATGTTGCAGAATGTGAATCCCCAGAGCAAGTAGGTGCTTTGTGGGGGGGGACTAAAGGGGTTTTGGGGTGGGAAGGGCGTGTTTTGGGTTTACGTGGAGGAGGAGGAGGGTGCGTTGTGGGGTTGGGGCTTGGTGGAACCCCCGTGTTGTGTCACTGTGGGATCCCCACAAGGTGGGACCCCCCACCTTGTGACATTGGAATACCCATGCAGTGGGATCCCCGTATTGTGACAGTGTCACTGTGGGACCCTCACCTTGTGGCACTGTGAGACCCCCCCAAGTTGGGACCCCCACACTGTGACAGTGTCATTGTGGGACCTCCATGTCATGACAGTGGCACTGTGGGACCTCCACAGGGTGGGAAGGTGTCATTGTGGGACCCCCAGGTTGTGTCACTCCAACACAGTGGGACTCCCATGTTGTGACGCTGAGGGACCCCAAAGATGTGGCAGTGTCATGGTGGGACCCCCCACATGAGACCCCCATGCTGTGGCAGTGTCATGGTGGGACCCCCACATTGTGTCACTGAGAACCCCAAGCTGTGACAGTGTTCCTATGGAATCCCCATGTTGAGACCCCCATGTTGTGATACTGTGGGACCCCCAAGCCATAGCAGTGTCATTGTGGGACTCTCACGTTGTGGCACTGTAGGACCCCCGTGCAGTGGGACCCCAGTGTCGTGACAGCGTCACTATGGGACCCCCAGGTTGTGTCATCCCAATACAGTGGGACCCTCACCTTGTGACACTTTGGGACTCCCACGGGATGTGACCCCGACATTGTGACCCTGAGGGAGCCTCGTGCTGTGACAGTGACACTGTGGGACCCCCCCAAGCTGTGACAGTGGCCCTGGGGGTCACTCTGTCCTTATCATGGGGGGGTCGTACCCTTGGGGACACTCCTGGGGTCACCCAGAGGTCAGCTCAGGGAAAAAAGGAGGTCCCAGCCCCCCTAAAGCTGAGCTGGGGGAGAGGCTCAAGAGCTCGGCCAGGAGCTGGTTGTGGGAACAGCTGGAATTTTGGGGGGTCTTGGGGGTCCCTGGAGCCTTTGGATTGGTGCCTGGGGGTTCCTGTTCTGGGACCCCCCCAAGACCTTGGTGTTGGTGTCCTGGGTGTCCCTGGAGCCTTGGAATCACTGTCCTGGGGGTCCCTGTTGTGGGACCCCCCCCAAAGCTTGGTGGTGTTGTTCTGGGAGTCCCTGGAGCTTTGATGGGGGTGTTCTGGGGGTCCCTGGAGCCTTGGAATCTGTGTCCTGGGGGATCCTGTTCCAGGGATCCCCCCAAACCTTGGTGGTGGTGTCCCGGGGGTCCCCATGACCACTGTGGCATTTCTGGGTTTGTTTTCCGTAATTTTCCTTTTTTCTGGATATTTCAGGACTCTCAGACCCGTTGTTGCTCTAAAATGCTGATGATTGCTCTAAACCACTGATTTTTCCCAGAAATCAGTGCAATTCCTGGACATTCCTGGGAGCTTGTGGACAGAATCCTGGGGGTTTGTGGCTGAAATCCACAGGAGTTCATGGGTGGAATGCATGGGATTTCATGGCAAAATCTGCGAGGGTTTGGAGTTGAACTTCCTGGGAGTTCAGGGCCAGAATTCCTGGGGGTTCGTGGCTGAAATCCATGGGAGCTCCTGTGCAGAATCCACGGGGGTTCGTGTCTGAAATTCCCAGGAGTTCACGGCCAGAATTCCTGGGGGTTCGTGGCTGAAATCCATGGGAGATCCTGTCCGAAATTCCCGAGAGTTCATGGCCAAAATTCACAGAAGTTTGCAGCTAAAATTCCCGGGTATTCCTGGCCAAAATCCGTGGGGTTTGTGGCTGAAATTCTTAGGAGTTCATGGCCAGAATTCCTGGGAGTTCATGGCTGAAATCTGTGGGAGCTTGTCGGCAGAATCCATGGGGGTTTACGACCAGAATTCCCATGGGAAGCTCCTCTTCATCCCAAAGATCTGGACAGTGGTAACGGTGCTGCTTTGGCCCTGATAGCAGCTCAAGGAGCAGTGTCAGCTTCTTCCCGGACTCTCTCCTGAGAATTCTGGGAAGCAGATCCATCCCCCTTTTCCCTTAACCCCTGTGTGTCTCCTCCCCTCCCCACAGGATCCTGGGGAAGGGCAATAAATCCATAGGAGCTCCTGGGAAGAATTACTGGGGGTTCACGACAAAATCCATGGGGGTTCAGGGCCGAAATTCCCATGAGTTCGTGGCTGGAATTCCTGGCGGTTTGTGGCCAAGTCCATGGGGGTTCAGGGCTGAAATGCCCAGGACTTCATGGACAGAATTCCTGGGGGGGATTATGGGGTCTCCCAGGCAGAATCCATGGGGGTTCAGGGCTGAAATTCCTGGGAGTTAATGGCTGAAATCCATGGGAGCTCCTGGGCAGAATCCATGGGGGTTCGTGGCCAGAATTCCCTTGGGAAGCTCCCCCTCATCCCCAAAGATCTGAACGGTGGTAACGGGAACGCGGTGGTGCTCCATAGCGGTTCTTCCGGGACTCTCCCGAATCCCCTCCCTGAATCCCACGTGTTCTCCCCTCCCTCGCAGGCTCCTGGGGGAGGGCAATGCCGGGCTCATGGCGCTGGCGACGCCGACGGAGTCGACTCCCGGGAAGCGGATCCGCAAACCTTCGCTGCTCTACGAGGGCTTCGAGAGCCCCACCATGGCCTCGGCTCCCGCCCTTCCCAACCCTCAGGCCAATCCGCCGCCTCCCGAGGTTTCCAATCCCAAAAAACCCGGTCGGATCACCAACCAGCTCCAGTACCTGCACAAGGTGGTGATGAAGGCGCTGTGGAAGCACCAGTTCGCGTGGCCCTTCCGCCAGCCCGTGGACGCCGTCAAGCTGGGCCTGCCGGTAATTCCTGAGGGTGGGAATGCCGGGAATTCCGTGTGGGTGTGCGACCCCTCCCCTCCCCCCAGTCCTTACTCCCACTCAGGCAGAGGTAGATCCAGCTTTTATTTTAATCCCGCTCGGCCACAGGTGTCACCCCGTTATCCCATCCTACATCCACCCCCAGGGCTCCCGCTATCCCGGAGGAGGGATCCCGATGTCCCTACAAAGTTATGGATGAGGGATATTCCCGGCGCTTCCCGACCTAATCTCTTGTGCCCTGAATGCATTTTGCAGATGTCTCCCATCCATGAGTTTGTAGAAGACATCCCGAGGCCCCCAAATTTAAGGCACCTGTGGCGCCCAAGGAGTTAAAGCCCGAGGAGGTAAATTCAAACCGGAGGGGTTGCTCTTCCCATTCGGTTTAAGCTCGACTTAAGCCCAGTTTAAATTGCCCCCTGAAATTTGATTTTAATTGCCCTTCGACTCACCTTCAATTTAGGTTCAGGTCAAGATAGGTTTAGTTTAAACTCACTTTAAATTTGCTGTAGTTTACCTTCAAATTTAGGTTAGGTTCCTGGTAAGTTTATCTTTAACTCACCTTAAGTTTAGCTTAAATGCAGCTGAAGCTTGGCTTTAATTCATCTTAAGTTTAGCTTACGTCCACCTTAGATTTGGTTTCAATCCTTGTTATAAATCCACCTTAAGTTTAGCTTGAATTCTGTTTTTGTTTCCCTTAAAGCTTGCATTAATTTGGCTTAAAACCACCTTAAACTTTGGTGCAATTTATCTTAAGTTAAGTTTAAATTCACTTTATGTTTAATTTCAGTCCACCTTCAATATGGTTTTAATTCCCCTGAAATTTAGCTTAACTTCATCTGAAGTTTAACCTTAACTCACCTTAAGTTTACCTTCAATTCATCTTAAATTCAATATAAATCTACTTTAAATGTAGCTTAGATTCATTTGAACTTAGTTTAAATCCACCATAAGTTCATCTTCGATTTGCCTTAAGTTTTGCTTAATTCCACCTTAAGTTCAACTTAAGTTTTCCTTAAATTTAGCTTAAATCTGGGTTCAATTTAGCTTCAAGTCACCTTGAATTTAGCTTCAATTCACTTCAAGTTTATCTTAAATTTCTCCTAAATTTAGTTTACATCCACCTCAAGTTTAGCTTAAACCTATCTCAAGTTAAGCTTAAATCCACCTCAAGTTTAGGTTGGATTCAGCTCAACTTTAGCTTTAATCCACCTGAAATTTAGCTTAAACTTCCCTTGAATTTAGCTTAAATTCCCCTTAAATTCAGCTCAAATCCCCCTTAAATCCCCACTCCCACTCCTGTGTCGCCTCCCAGCTGCTCCCACCCCTCTGACCACCCCGAACCCCCCCTTTGGAGCCGCTTCCCACTACATTCCCAGTCATTCCCACCACATCCACAGGGAATTCCTCCCCTTCCCCCCCTTCCACCCCCGCTGAACACGAGCGACCCCGCTGTGACCCCCCGATCCCCGTTGTCACTGTTTTCCCAGGATTACCACAAGATCATCAAGCAGCCCATGGATATGGGAACCATCAAGAGACGCCTGGAGAACAACTATTACTGGGGGGCAGCCGAGTGCATGCAGGACTTCAACACCATGTTCACCAACTGCTACATCTACAACAAGGTGGGACCGCCCCCAAAACACCCCTGGCACCTCCCAAAAGTCGTGCCTGGCGTTCCCTGACTCCAGATCCAACGATTCCCGCAGCCCACGGATGACATCGTGCTGATGGCGCAGACCCTGGAGAAGATCTTCCTGCAGAAGGTGGCACAGATGCCTCCGGAGGAGCAGGAGATCGTGGTGCCCGTGGCCAAGAACAGCCATAAAAAGGGGGCATCCAGGGCGGCAGGTGAGGAAAAGGGGGGCCCAAAAAGTTGGGAATGGGTGAGGGTGACAGTGGGGGGGGGGGTCCCCAGACCTGGCATCAGTATTCCAGCGTGTCCTTTGGGATAACACTGGTATTCCTGGGGGTCCCCAATCCCCGTCTCCAGGTGTTCCCTGTGTCCTTGGGAACAGTGGGATGACAGTGGAGGGCCCAGGGGGTCTCCAACCCTTGCTTCTATGTATTCCCTGTATCCTTTGGGAGGCCCCCAGGAGGCCCCAGCCCCTTTTCCCCTGGGTATCCCTTGGGATAACAGCAACATTCCCAGTTTTTTTTCTCTCCCTGTTCGCAGCGCTCCTGGCGGGACTGACGGCAGCTCAGCAGGTCCCGGCCGTGTCCTCGGTGTCCCAGCCCACAGTGTACACCCCCACGACCCCCGAGATCCCCACAACCATCGTCAACATCCCCCACCCCTCGGTCATCTCCGCCCCCATCCTGAAATCCCTGCATCCCAACGCTCCGGCCGTCCTGGCCCCGCCCGCGCCCACACAGCCCGTGGCCAAGGTGGGAATTCTGGGGGAGATGGGATGTGGGGGATCGAGGGGGCTGGGATGGGGGATCTGGACACTGGGATGAAGGTTCTGGGTGTTGGGATGGAGGTTTTAGACACTGGGACGAGGGATGTTGGTGCTGGGATGGAGTTTCTGGATGTTGAGATGAGGGTTCGAGATGCTGGGATGGGGGTCCCACTACCGGTCCACCTTCCACCCTCCCCCTCCTGACCCCTCTGATCCCACCTTCCCTCTTCCCAGAAAAAGGGGGTGAAGCGGAAAGCCGACACCACCACGCCCACCACCACGGCCATCATCGCCACCAGCACCGGCGGCGAGTCCTCCCCGTCCCCCTCGGCCTCCGGAGCCCCCCCGGACCCCCCGAAACCCGCCAAGATCCCCGCCCGGCGCGAGAGCGGCCGCCCCATCAAACCCCCCCGCAAGGACCTCCCGGATTCCCAGCAGCACCAAACTTCCAAGAAGGGGAAGCTCTCGGAGCAGCTCAAGTATTGCAACGGGATCCTGAAGGAGCTGCTGTCCAAGAAGCACGCGGCCTACGCGTGGCCCTTCTACAAGCCCGTGGACGCCTCGGCCCTGGGGCTCCACGACTACCACGAGATCATCAAGCACCCCATGGATCTCAGCACCATCAAGGTGGGGGCTCTGGAACCCCCCCCCCGGCCCCGGAGCCGGCAATCCCAGAAATCCTCTGGGGAACCCCGGGAACCTCGGGGGGAGTTGAAGGAAGTGACACAGGAGGGGTTTGTGGGGTTTTGGGGGATTCCCAAGAGGAATCACAGGGGGAGTTTGAGGCGTCCCCAAGGGGTGGTTTTGGGATTTTTTTGGGGAGGGGTGTCTCAAGGGGGATCACAGGGAGGTTTTGAGGGGTCCCCAAGGTGGATTTGGGGCGGTTTGGGGGGTCATCCCTGTCCCTTTTGCCCCCCCCAGAGGAAGATGGAGAACCGGGACTACCACGACGCGCAGGAATTCGCGGCCGACGTGCGGTTGATGTTCTCCAACTGCTACAAGTACAACCCGCCCGACCACGATGTGGTGGCCATGGCCAGGAAGCTCCAGGTCATTCCCAACCCCCTTAAAAGACGGGATATGTTGGGATGCGGGGTCTGGACACTGAGAACGGGGTTCAGGGTTTTGGGATGGGGTTCAGAATGGGGGTTCCAGGTGTTGGGATGGGGATTCCAAATTTCATAATGGGGTTTCTGAGGGTTGGGATGAGGATCCCGGGCGCTGGAATGAGGATTTCAGATGTTGGATGGGGGTCCCAGATGTCAGGAGGGGATTGCAGATGTACCAGACCTCAGGCCATCCCACCCCACCGCAAACTCCTACCCCGATCCTGAATTTCCCCCCCCTTTCAGGACGTGTTCGAGTTCAGCTACGCCAAAATGCCGGATGAGCCGCAGGATGCTGGAGCTCCCTCTGTGTCCACCCCGCTGCCTGTTCCCAAATCCTCCTCCGAGGAATCTTCCAGCGACGAGGACGATGAGGACGAGGACGACGAAGACGACGAGGACGACGAGACCAGCACGGAAAGCTCCTCGGAGAGCGAGGAGAGCTCGGATTCCGAGGAGGAACGAGCCAACCGGCTGGCAGAGCTGCAGGAGCAGGTGAGGGGCCGTCCCAGGGAACGATCCGTGGCCAAAATTCCCTCGGGATCAGCTCCCTGACCCCCCCCGGTGTCTCCTCCCCCCTACAGCTGCGGGCCGTGCACGAGCAGCTGGCTGCCCTCTCGCAGGGCCCCGTGTCCAAACCCAAGAAAAAGCGGGAGAAGAGGAAGAGGAAGAAGTCGGAGAAGCACAAAGGGAGGGACGAGGAGACGAGGGCGAGGCAGGCGCAGCTCCGGAGGGCCCGGAAAGCCGGAGGCAGCGGCGGATCCAAGTGAGGGGATGGTGGGAATGGTGGGAAGGAGGCCCGGGGAGGGTGGGGCAAAGGGTTCCGGAAGTTGGGTTTGGGGTGTCCGGATGGGGATTTGGGGAGGCAGGATGGAGGTGCTGGACGCTGGGATGGGATTCATGGTGTTGGGATAGGAATTTTGGGAGCTGGGATGGGAGTTCAGGGTGCTGGGAAGGAGCTCCAGATGTTAGGATTGGGGTTCTGTGTGTTGGGATGGGAATTTTAGGAGCCAGGATGGGGTTTCCAGATACTGGGATGGGGGTTCAGGATGCTGGAATGGGGGATGTGGACACTGGGATGGGGTGCAGGATGTTGGGTTTTGGATGTGGGGATGAGAGTTCAGGAAGTAGGGATGGGGGTTCTGCATGCTGGAATAGGGTTTTGGATGTTGGGATGGGACCCCAAAATCCATGTGGGACCACCCCAGGCTCCCTGGGAACCACAAAACCCCAGCAGGGCCCACGCCAACGGAGCCCTGGGTGCTTCTTCCCATCAGGAATTCCAAGAAATCCGCCAAACCTGCCCTGCCAGCCCCTCCATCCCTCTACGATTCCGAGGAAGAGGAGGAATCCAAACCCATGACCTACGACGAGAAGCGCCAGCTGAGCCTGGACATCAACAAACTTCCTGGGGAAAAACTGGGAAGAGTGGTGCACATCATCCAATCCCGGGAGCCTTCCCTGCGGGATTCCAATCCCGAGGAAATTGAGATCGACTTTGAGACCCTCAAACCCTCCACGCTGAGGGAGCTGGAGCGTTACGTCCTGTCCTGCCTCCGGAAAAAACCCCGGAAACCCTACAGCGAGAGTGAGTTTGGAGGAGTCCCAGGGATCTGTGGGGGGCAGAGGGGTGTGGATCCAGTGGGATTTTCCTGGGGTTCTTTTTGTAGCCATGAAGAAGCCGGTGGGGAAGACGAAAGAGGAGCTGGCGCTGGAGAAGAAGAGAGAGCTGGAAAAGCGTCTCCAGGACGTCAGTGGGCAGCTGAACTCGGCCAAGAAACCCCCCAAGAAGGGTCTGGAATCTTGGGATTGGGCACTGGGATGTTGGGATGGGGGTCTGGGATGTTGGCGTGGGGGGTGGGGTGTTGGGACTTGGGGCTGGGATGGGGTTCAGAGTGTTGGGATGGGGGTTGGGGTGGGATGTCAGAGCTGAACTCTGCCAAAAACCCCCCCAAGAAGGGTCTGGAATTTTGGGAATGGGCATCAGGATGGAGGTCTGGGATATTGGGATGGGGGTTAGGATGGAATTTCAGGTGCCAGGATGGGATCTGGGCTCTGGGATTGGGATTTCAGGTGCCAGGATGGGTTTCTGGGGTGCCAATCCCGCTGGATCCTGCCACTCATTCCTGATTTCCCTCCCCCTGCAGCCAATGAGAAGCCGGAATCTGCCCAACAAGTGGCAGCTTCCCGACTTTCTGCCTCCAGCTCCAGCTCTGATTCCAGCAGCTCCAGCTCCTCCTCCTCCTCCTCCGACACCAGCGACTCGGATTCTGGTTAGTTGGGAATTCCCAGGGATTCCCAGGAATTCCCGGGCTCCGCAGGACCGGACCCGAGTCCCCCTCCTGGATTCTGGGGTGACTCCCACCCCCCCTCCAGCACCGATGGACTTTGGGAATGCGGGAGAAGAGGGGGGAGGATCCCATGGGATGAGGTTTTGAGAGTTTTGGGATTATCCCGTTTTCCTCCTCCAGTGGAATTTTACTGTTTGTTTTTGGTTTTTTTGTTGATTTTTTGTTTTGTTCTGTTTTGTTCTGGTTTTTTCCTTTTTTTTTTTTTTTTTTTTTTTGGTGATTTTTTTTTTGGTTTGTTTTGGTTTTTTTTTTTTCTGTCTTGGAATTTTTTCCAGCAAACAAAAGGGGAGAGAAAAGTTGGGGTTTTTTGGGGGAGGGTTGAAGGGAGAGTTTTTAGGAAAAAAAAAGCAAAAAAAGTTAAAAAACCTAAAAAAAAGTTTTTAGAAAAAATGTAATTAAAAAAATTTAAAAAAAGCCTCTTGGTGGGGGAGGGGCTGGACAATTCCAGAGCTTGGGAAAAGAGGGTGAGGGGGAAGGGAGGGGGGCAAAGTTTGGGATCCTCCAGGTGGATTTTCTTTGGGATGGTGGGGGGCAGGGGTCACTCAACCCCCTCCTCGACCTTTTTAATTGTTAATTTATTTGGGAATTTTGGGGAGGAAAAAGGATGGGCAGTGGGGGAGGGGGTGGGAAAAGTGCCGGGAATGTTGAGACCCCCCCCCCCCCCCGCATGTTCCGGAGGGGGAGGGGAGGGGGAAGGGCCTGTTTTTTACGTTGGAAAAATGTACAATTTTTTTCTACTCCGTTTTCCGTTTGTTTTTTTCGGGGTTTCCCCCCCTTTCCCCCCCCCTTTTTCCCAGCTTTTCCCACCTTTTTTCCCCCACTTTTTCCCGCCCCCCCTCTGTAGCCCCTGTAGAGTTGTGTTTTCATCTTGTTTTTCCGACCTTTGGAATTCTTTCGACGTGTAAATAAAGAAAATATTATTCGAGTTGAATTCTCAGGATTTATGTTGTGATTCGGGGGGGGGTGGGGAAGTTGAGAATTCCATAGGTGCCTTTCATTAATTTTGGAGGAAAAGTGGGAGGATCCTGTGCCCCCAGACCAATATTAGGGAAACTGGGAATGCTCTTGAGTCCCATTCCTTAATTTTTGGGAAAACTGTGAGGGATCCTGAGCCCCCAGACACAAATTGGGAAAGCTCTGTGTCCCATTCTTTAATTTTGCGAAAATTGGGAGTGATCAGAATCCCATTCATAAATCTCCAATGTCAGCACCACACTTCACCTCAGATGTGCACAACACCATAAACCACCTTAAAAAATAAAACATCACAACAAGAGGTGCATAAATGCATAGAACTGCCTTTAAAAGGATCAATTCCATAATTGCAGAGCAGCGCTGGCACCTGGTGAGCACAAAAGGTAATTACATGGAAATGAGCGTTGAGTGCTGGCACCTGCTGACAGTGCGCGAGAACTGCAGCACAAATAATTACGCGGCAGGGTAAAAACAGCGAAACTGCTGCGGCCTTGTGGACAGCAAAACAATTACAGCAGAAATTAAAAAAAATTATGTGAAAAAGCACACAAATCACAACCGAAACAACACCCAGGACCCCTAAATAAAACCTCAAAAAAACACCACTCAACCCAATGACATCAAAAACCTTAAATGAAAAAACCTGACTAAACCACACCCTAACCTTAACCCAGCCCATCCCATAATGCCCTCTTCAGCCCCTTGACCCCTCCCACAACGATCTCAAAGCACCAGAAAACTCTAATTATCAATTAGCAGGAGAACGATGGCTTACATTACCTGTCACAACACCCATTTACAGTTAGTTAGGGTTAAGGGTTAGGATTTAAAGTTAGGATTAGGGGTACGGTTTAGCATTAGGTTTATCCCTCGGGGGGGGGGGGTCTCCGGTGGTCCCACAGCGTTGGTTCCTCCCCCCCCCCAACACTCAGCACTGACGTCGACGACCAAAATGACCCTGAGTCACCTTTTCACCCAGGTAGGGTCTTGGGGGGGTCAGGGGGGGCTCCGGGGGCGGCAGTTATGGGGGTCACAGGGGTTACTCGGGGGTCTGAGGGGGAATTGGGAGGTCCCCGGGGGGTCCCAGAAGGTCTTGGGCTGTCTGGGAGAGGGGAGGGGTGTCAGAGATCCCGGGGAGGTCAGAGGTGACCCGGGGGGGGGGAATGTCAGAGGTGACAGATCAGCCCTTGGAGGAGGGGGGGCTGTCAGAGATCCAGGGGGGTCAGAGGTGACCCGGGGGGGGGGGGATGTCAGAGGTGACAGATCAGCCCTTGGGGGGGGGGCGTCAGAGGCCCCCCAGGGGCTGCCCTCCCCCTGGCCCCCCCACCCCTGAGGGACCCCAAATACCCCCTGGGACCCTCTCCCTCCCCCCTTCGTGCTTGAGACCTTCCCAGGAGCCTCCACTACCCCCGCTCAGAGACCCCCTCCCAGTGTGCCCTGGGACCCCCCGAGATGTCTCTGATGACCCCTGGGACCCCCCTGAGATTCCCCCTCCGGGTGCTCTGGAACCCTCTGAGACCCCCGAGACCTCTCCAGTGACCCCTGGGCCCCCTGAGACCCCCCCCCCCCGGTCCCCCCCCCAGCCCCACCAGTGACCTTTGACCCCATTGTCCAGTTGTCAATAAGGGGTCAAATCAGCAACGGAACCGACTCCAGTGTGACCAGTATGGGAACTGGAAGGACACTGGGAGGGGAATGGGAGGGGACTGGGGGTACATCTTTGTGCTGACATCAGGTGATGACCCACCTTCTTGCTCTGCTCCTCTGGCCTCTGTTCTGTTCAACTCTCCTTTACACCCTGTCCCTCTGACATGGGAAAGAACCCCTAACCAAAGTCACCCAGATAGATGAGGGGAGCTCAAAGAGTCTCCCTTCTCTTTAGGCAAACCACTCAGGGTCACTGCCTGCAGCCAAAGACTGCAGCTGCAATGGCACAGAATATCTGGGTGAAGGAGAGGAAAACTTAAGTGGCCCATCTGAAAAGTCAGTGGGTGCCTTCACAGGCATTTAGGGGGCTCCTGGACAATGCTTTCCACCCATACTACCTTCAAAACACCCCTGGCAATCCCTAAGCTGGCACCCCAGCCCTCCCTCCATCTCTGGGCTGTAACCCCCCACTGACTACTGGCAAACCTGGGGGTCTGTAGCCATCTTCAACACAGAGCAGCTTCACCTGAGGACTGGATAACACCGGTGAGAAAAAGCCAAACTGCAGCTGAGATGATCGGGAAATCCCAAAAGATGCAAGGCTCCTAAGGAAAAGAAAAAAGGATAACAAATTAGAAAAGCACCTTACCAACACAGCACACAAAATTATTAAATTTAAAAACCCTGCATTTGAGTGTAATCCTCTTCATTGCCATATATAGCTCTGACCTCACATGACACCCCACCTTCTGACTGTGCTCCTCCAGCCTCTTCTGTTTATCTCTGCTTTAAATCCAGTCCCTCTGACGCTGCAAAGAAACGAGTTAGCAAAGTCAGCCATATAGACAGGGGGACCTTAACTGCTGCACAATTGTCACTTCTCTTTGGACAAGCCCTCTGGGGTCCAAAGACAACCTGCACAAAGAAACACTGCCCTAACTTTAAGGCCCTGCCTTACCGCTCCCATCGGCTCTGGAAAAGCCTGCCCTTGTCACTGCACACACACTGCAGGCAGGGGCTGCCTCCGGGAGGACCAGAGAACTGCTGCCCTCAGTGGCTGAGCCTATCCACAGGGTAACTGGAAAGTCTCCTTTCTACTCCACCTACCTCCAAGTCTACACTGCAGGGCAGAGCAGTTCCAGGCCCAACACAAACTCCAGTGACACATTTCCAGACGACTGCTGTGGTGCGACGAGGAGAGAGAACTCTGAGAAAGGAACGACGCCAAAACGGACGTGCTGCCGCACGAGAAGACGGAGGATACGGCGAGACCGAACGCAGGAGGCTCTGAGGAGCCTGAAAAGACACTCTAACAGAATGGCCTGGGACAAGAACTGCCTACAAAATTGCTAAGATGGATGGAAGACAATGCTATGTTCAGAATCTTCTTAGATTCTCACAAGTTCCAAGGGATGAATGCACAGCCCCTGCTACAACCTGTAAGGAGGCTGTAAAAGACACCTGACCTGACACTTCTCAGATGCGATTCCGATGCACGTTCAAGCTAGTGAGCCAAAGAACGGATGGTATGGGCACTGGGCTGAGCAGTGCAAAGGTTCAAGACCCTAGGAATGATGCCTTGACATCTCAGATAAAACCTTTGAAGGCAGAAAGTAAAGACACGGGGACTGTGAATTTTAAGACACGAAACAGAGACTGGACAAAGGACACAACACAGACCTGAACGGCTCTGCCCTGCACACCCTACTCCACGATGAAAAGTAAACTGCTCCTCCTATGTGTGCCAAGGGCCTCTTAGGGCAGACCCTTTCCCCTCTGCTCATTTGAAAATCCCTCCCTCCTAACCATAACATTGGACCCAGCTCTCATCCCCTCTCCAGGTGCTAGTCCTCCACTTATCTTTCCCATAGGCAGGGATGTGAATCCATCTTCTATGCCAAGGAAGGACACTCGGCTGGCTCACAGGGTCCTGTGATCCCTGACTGAGTCGGCTGCGAGAAAGAAAACAGAAACTGAAGCAAGAGTTGGGCAGCACGTGGGAGATAACCCCGCAATTGGCTACTCACCCTCCCCTGAGCTGAGAGGTTCTCGGGCCACTGGCTCCGACCCCAGTTGGAGGCTGCTGCCATCACCGTGTGCCGTACCTGGGGGAGTGAGAAAAAAAGTTACCGGGTGTTCCTGAAAGTAAGGGAGACCCCAGCACCTCCTCACTACCTCCCAGACTCAACCTCAATGCTCCTCCTTTGCCAAAGGCAGGCTGGATGGCACCTGCAACTGGAAAAGGTCTAGCCTTAGTTAAAGAGCCTCGTAGGACTAGGAGATTACTCACAAGGACAGCTGAAGACCATCAAACCTAAAAGGCAGGTGGGCTCCAGCCCTCTGAGGCTGCACACATTCTCTGCAAAGTAAAAAAGCCAAAGGCAAATGTACACACTGAGATACTGCCTGAAAGGATGGCTTTCCTGGGGTAGCTCCTACCTATCTCTCCTTCACA